TGTAGTATCATTTCTACATTGTCAGGGCATGTAACATTTACATTCTCTTCTATTACCCTGGTTCCCACTTGTGTTTTCAGTGTTAAGCCTGTAATTATTAGATTCAGTGCTCATTACCAATCCTTTCACTGCCCTTTTTCCTAATTTTTATTGTCTGTGATTTGTCCTCTAGGAGAATCCTCAAAAAAAACCTCACAAGAACAATATTCCCTAATGAGTTCTTGCATGTTCCAGAGTTTCTTGCCTTAAATATTTAAAAATTAGCTTGACTGAGCATAAAATCTTTACATTGTGCTTTCTTTCCTTGAGAATTTTTTTTTTTAATTTTTTTTTCAACATTTATTTATTTATTTTTGGGACAGAGAGAGACAGAGCATGAACGGGGGAGGGGCAGCGAGAGAGGGAGACACAGAATCGGAAACAGGCTCCAGGCTCCGAGCCATCAGCCCAGAGCCTGACGCGGGGCTCGAACTCACGGACCGCGAGATCGTGACCTGGCTGAAGTCGGCCGCTTAACCGACTGCGCCACCCAGGCGCCCCTCCTTGAGAATTTTTAAAGTATACTGCTCTACTGTCTTCCAGGGTTAAGTGTGGCCATGGAGAGATCAGAGGCCAACCTAATTTTTTTTTGGTGACTTGATATTAAAAAGAATGTGTATTTTCCATTTGTTGAGTACTGGATTCTCTATGTGTTCATCAGATGAAGCTTTTCAAATGTATCACCTAAAGCTTCTTAGTGAATGGGGAGTTGTTTCATGGGTATAGAATTTCAGTTTTACAAGATGAGAATAGTTCTGGAGATTGGCTGCACAGCACAGCGAGTGTACTCAGTACTTAACTGTACATTTAAAAATGGTTACAATGGTAAATTTTATGTTATTTTGCCAGAATTAAGAAAAAGATTCCTGATTTTAAAAAAAAAAACCTTCCTGGTAAATTATTCATTTTATCATTTTTTTTATTCTCTTTATTCCTGCTAAGGTTTTGGTCTAAGATTTTTATTTTGTCTGCTATTAATGTAAGTATGCCAGCTTGCTTTCTTATGATTAGGATTGCCTGGTATATCTTTTTATTTCTGTTTTCTTTTAGCTTTCTGTGTCCTTACTTTTGTCATGTCTCATAAACAGCATATAGCTAGATCTTATGTGGGTGGTTTCTTCATTCAGTTTGAGAATCTGTCTTTTAATTGGTGTATTTAATACCATTTACATTTACTTTTAGTATTGATACGTAGGGATTTATTTCTGTTTTGTACATCCGGTTTACTGTGCTTTTTCTTTGCTGCTTCTTTCCTGCCCTTCAACGCATCACTCTGTGTTCTTTTATCTTCTTTGTTCCCTTTATTTACTTTTCTATCTTCTATTCTGGTATTGTTATTCCTAAATTTTTAACATATATTTTCATGACTTAATGAACTCTAAATCTAGTAGGCATCTCCTGAACAATACAGGGACCTTAGAATAGTTCAACACCCTCTCTTGCCTTACATGTGTGTTGTTATCCTCTAGTAGTTTATTTCCATTTTATTTCTTCCTCTCTCTCTTGTTTTTAGTAGGCTCCACACCCAGAATGGAGCCCAACACAGGGCTTGAACTCATGACCCTGAGATCAAGACCTGAGCTGAGATCAAGGGTCGGATGCTTAACCGACTGAGCCACCCAAGCACCCCTATTTCTTCATCTCTAAAAGTGGTTGTCGGGTGGTCATTACTTATAATCACTATTTTATACAGTCATTTCCTGCTTAGATTGACTCACAAATTTAACCCTTCTCACCATTGTTTCTTACAGTTTAACCCTTCCTTCTGGATTCAGTTTCTTTCTTCCTGAAATTAAATTTCCTTGTTTTTTTTCTTTTAGCAGTTCTCTCAGTAAAGAATCATCACTATAAGTAAACCACCTTTTTTTTTTCTTTAATAATGGTTTGTTTATTGCTTTCTGGTTTCTCTTGTGTTGAAAAGTCTGCCATCAGTTTAATTATCATTTCTTTTTAGGTAATATCTTGCCTATAATTGGTTATAATATTTTTATTTTTGTCTTTGGTGTTGTCCAATTTCACTACTGTGATCTAAATACAGATTTAGTTGTATTTGCTCTGCTGGATTTTGTGTTTTTTGTCTTCCATTAATTCTAGGAGAATTCTCCATGATATCTTCAAATATTCTCTGCCCTGTTTTCTTTAGTTCATTCTCCAGCGACTGCTATTATTTGCAGTTAGGCATACTTATGACCCTGTGGGGATGACAGGGGATGTCTGTCCCCTATTGCATGACTTTGTCTTCATATTTTTATCTTTTTTGTCTCTCAGTGATGAATTTTAAATAATTTCTTCAGCTCTGCTTTTGAGTTTATTCTTTGTATCTTCTGAGCTGTGTCTAATTTCACATTTATACCATTTAGTTTTTAATTTCAATGACTATTTTTTCATTTTTGTCTATTTTTACTCACTGTACTTTTTTTCTTAATCTTTTGTTTTCAGTTCCTTTTTTATGACTTTGTTTCAAGCACACTTTCTTAATAGACTTGTCTCTAGTATCCAAAGTTCCTGGAGGTGTAGTCCCGCTGTTTTTTATATCTTCTGATCCTCACACATAAGGATTGATTGTTTCCTTGTGTATTTATACTTTTGGATTGTGAGCTTGTCTTTAGTAGGGTTTTGTCTTCTGAATCCCAGCAGCTAGGATGGAGCATGTGTCCCTCCAGAATGGCTTTGCAGTTGTCTCTCCTGGTGTTTTGGGAGTATGACAAGCTCAGAGCTAATTTTGAGTTTATGTCTTGGCTTGGAAGTTTGTGTAGGAAAGGGTAGATTTGAACGAATCTGCCCAAGGATGGGCCCTTCTCTCCAGCTGCCCCTGCAGCAGCACAGGTGCATTTTCTGATCAGTGTAGCCATCAGACTCATAGGCCACACATGCACACACACACAAAAGCGACCATCTGCTATAGCACCTTCATCTCATTGAGAGTCCCAGCTGCTCCCATTTACGGTGGGAATGACCATCACCCACAAGAGTCTGAAATATCTGTAGGTCCCTTTGATACATAAAAGCCACAGCTCCTTTTTATAACCAGTTTCTTTTTTCCAATAAAAATTAAAAGGATTTTTAACTTCCAAGCGTTTTTTTGAGACAGTACAACTAACACAATGAAAATCAGAACATCTTATTAATAAATGTAACAACAAACCAAAGTAATTTTGAGCATAAGTTAACCCATTTATTATAGGCTAGTAATGTTTGAAATGGTAGAGTTTCCACTGGTCTTTCGATTCCTTCAGATGTTACTGTGACGGCAGAAGTGGTGTTGTTAAGTCCGGCCCCACCGGCTACCTTTTTCATGCAGGAACCACGGTGCCAGATCCCCACAGCTCGTCTTTTCATCTTGGTTTTGCCACAGAGCAAGCAAATGTACTTGGCATGCTGGCTTATTTCAATTTTCTTCACCGTTTTCCTGAAGGAGGCACCATAATGGAGCCCATATTTACATATGATTCTGACCTTCTGACCTTGGTGCATTTAGCCATGTCACCACAAACTCCAGGCTGGGCCTGGAGACAGCTCCTACCAGGTTGGTTTTGTTTTGATATGGAAGCTTCACAAGTTTGCAGTTCATCCTTGCACAGAAACGCCATGCTAATCTTCTCTCTATCATTCCAATTCTTAGTATACGTGCTGCCACAGCAAGCACCCCACCAGTTTTTTATACTATGCTAGTCACCCCAAACCAGATGCAGTCCCACACAACAAAGGAAGCACACACAACATTACCCATTCGTGTTCACTCTCCTGTTCCTTCCCCAGAAAACTGCTGCGTGAAACCAAGGTCATTCTGAGGCTGGCTTGCTTCATTCCAAGCCTGGTGTTAACCCTTTACACCCAGCCGCCCAGGTTGAAAAACAGCCTGGATTCTATGGGGTTCTCAGTTCTAACTTCCCACTCTGTCTTCTGCCCTGCCTGGATATTAAAATCACTCCATTACTGAGATTGACTGCTCCCAGCTTCCTTCCCCAAGGGCAGCCACAGTGTGTCATCCTTCATTTCTGGCCCTGGTAATTCCTCTTCCTTCCTGAGAAGTTCATTTCAGCTCTGGATTTGAAAAGATGTTTGCTCCACCTTATCAAGCATTTGTAGATATTTTTAGCATTTCCAGTATTTATAGATGATTTTTGGGTTATCTAATCCAGAATATTACATTAGAAGGAAGTTTGAAACTACTCAAACAGCCTGAATTCAAATTCTGACACTCCTTTTCTTCAGTATAATCTTTGACAAAGTATGTGGCTTCCATGAACTTTCTCCAAGCATGATATGGGGGTATTAATACCCACCTCAAGGGGTTGTGGTAATATTGAGTTATTGACAAGGGTAAGCTCAAAGGCCCTACCATGGTTTCCAAAGTTCTGACCAAGCCCCTGCCAAAGCATTCAGCATCTTCTCGCACTTTCCAGACATACTCCAGTGTAATAAACTACTTGTTCGTTCTGAATTGTTCTTCTCTCTGGCTTCCAAGCCTTTATACACAGTGTTCTTTTTTTCTGAACATTCTCCTCCCTTGTTCACCTTCCCCCTAGCTATTGTACTAATCCTTCATCCCTCAACTTAGGTATCAGTTTCTCTATCACTGCTGATCTCCAAGCCTGGGTTAAGTCCTGTGAGAGTCCCACGTTCTCCTATAACACTTACATTTGCCCATCATACCACTCAACAGGCTGTTTACTTGTCTGAACATACTTTAGGGGAAGGATTTTGGCTGTTTTGCTCACTGTTGTATCCCAGCTCCTAATAAAGAGCCTGGCACACAGCTCAATACATGGTAGCTATTATTTTTATCAGCATCTTCATCTGTCATAATTCTCAAATGTCTGATTGTTGTATAAATAACTCTTAAGTATGCCAAGAAGCTTAGAGTTAAGTTACAAGACTGACAAGGGCATGTATTGTTTCAGAGCCACATTTTAGGCCTTTGTTTTTCACTTATTCAATCATTTATCCTTTCATACTAGGAACTAACCCAGGAGTGTGATGAAAAGAAATCCCAGTATGATAGCTGTGCAGCAGGCCTCGAAAGCAATCGGTCCAAATTAGAACAGGTAAGAAGATAGTTTTTATTTTTTCACAATTTAGCAGAAACTGCCTGTGTATGCATGTTTTCACTACCCTGGTATCAAAAGATTCCCAAATCTTTACCCTCATTCTCTGAGCCTGTCCCCTAAGCTCGAGAGATCTTTATTTCTTCAGACGTGATGCATACACACCAAATTCTCCATCTGTACCACAACCACCAAGGTCCAGGCCACAAGCAGGTGTCTCCCACAGTAACCCAGCTCTGCTCTCTTACCTTCACCCTTGCCTTCCTAAGGTTTTTTCTCTTTAGAGCAGCCAAAGAAACCTGTGGGAAACTTAGGCCACCCTCCACTAGCTTCCTACTGCACTTAAAACCTGACTTCCAAACTATGGTCTGCAAGGCCCACCTGCCTCCTGAACTTCATGTTCATGTGCTGTTCTCTTCATCCACAGGGCCACAGCCACACTGGCCTTCTTGCACATCAGACAAGCTAAGCTTGTTTTCACCTTATGGCTTTTGCTTGTGCTATTCTCTCTCTGGGACACTCTGCCTCTACCTCTTTACCTTGATCTCTCCTGCTCATCATCAGGTCTCAGCCTGAATGTCACCTCCTCCTGGAGGTCTTCTCTGATCATCCTATCTAATGTTGCCTGTTGGGTCGCCCTATCACATTCTACTACTACTGACTTTTCTTCATAGTACTGAAGAAAAGTCTGAAACTACCTTCATTACCTATCTCCTTGTTTATGCCTATTTCCTCTACTTGAATGAGAGCAAGGGCCTATAGTCTTATTCACCGTTGTGTCCCCAGCACCTAGCACAGAGTTGGGCACATGGTAGGTACTTAATAAATTAATAACTGAACCTGTAGGTTTTGGAGCAATAGGAGTAGTCTTTAGAAAAGATTGCAACCTAGTCTATGATGGCAAACAAAATTATAATCACAAAAGAAGAAATTACTCTGATGGCATTTTGTTGTACATTTAAAGTCATCCTTTCTGCATTTGATTATTCTTTCAATAATGTTGCCCATTTAAAATTATATATTGTAGGAAGTCAGAGGACTCCGTGAAGAATGTCTTCAGGAAGAAAGTAGATACCATTACACAAATTGTATGATTAAGGTAAAATAAAGAAAGAGGATCAAGAATTTTTCTGAGATTTTTCTGTATCAAGGACTTAACCTAAAATTTAATCTTTCCACTTAGAACCTAGAAGTACAACTTCGTCGTGCTACTGATGAGATGAAGGCTTATGTTTCTTCTGATCAACAAGAAAAAAGAAAGGCAATTAGGCAAGTAATTTTGTTGTTTCTATATTGAGTTACTTAACGTTTTCACCTATAGAAGTTTCTTTTTAATTTTACTAACTTCTGTATTTAAACTCCAGTATAGTTCTTGTAGTGTTACATTAGTTTCCGGTGTACAACATAGTGATTCAGCAATTCCATACATACTCGGTGCTCATCATAATTGTACTCTTAATCCCCATCACCTGTTTCACCCATCCCCCTCACCCACCTCGCCTCTGGGAACCATCAGTTTGTTCTCTAGAGTTTCGAGTCTGTTTCTTGGTTTGTCTCTCTCTCTCTCTTTCTTCCTTTGTTCATTTGTTTTGTTTCTTAAATTCCACATATGAGTGAAATGATATGGTGTGTGTCTTTCTCTGACTGACTTATTTCACCTGGCATTGTACTCTCCAGCTGCATCCGTGTTGTTGCAAATGGCAAGGTTTCATTCTTTTTTATGGCTGTGACCTGTAGAAGTTTTATACATAAGATGGAATTACTAAATTGGGGGTACTTAAATAAGCAGATATTAAGATATTACTTAGGATTAAATCTTGTTAAATATCTTCCTGATACTCCAGCCCTACTAAGTAGGAATACCTGTAATTTACTTTCTGGATTGCTTGATTTTTTATCATGGCAAAAAAAAACGACATATAAAAAAATTCTACATGTTAAATTCGGGTGGTCTAGTAGGTTGAGCCGTCCACTGCTCAGGTCAAGATCTTGCGGTTTGTGATGTCTGCCTTGATCAGGCTCTGAAGACAGCTCAGAGCCTGAAGCCTGCTTCGAATGCTGTGTCTCCCTCTCTCTGCCTCCTTCTGCTCATGCTGTGTTCTGTCTCGTGGCCGAAAACATTTTAAAAAAATTAAAATTTGCCATGTTTACTATTTTCTTTAATTTTATTTTTAATTTTTTTAAATTTACATCCAAATTAATTAGCATATAGTGCAACAGTGATTTCAGGAGTAGATTCCTTAATGCCCCTTACCCATTTAGCCCATCCCCCCTCCCACAACTCCAGCAACCTGTTTGTTCTCCATATTTATGAGTCTCTTCTGTTTTGTCCCCTCCCTGTTTTTTATATTATTTTTGTTTCCCTTCCCTTATGTTCATCTGTTTTGTCTCTTGTCCTCATATGAGTGAAGTCATAATGCTTGTCTTTCTCTCTGGCTGACCATCACTCACATAATACCTCCAGTTCCATCCATGTAGTTGCAAATGGCAAGATTTCATTCTTTTGATTGCCAAATAATAATACTTCATTGTATGTATGTATAGGGGAGAGAGAGATATATATATATATATATATATATATCATATTTTTTTTTTATCCATTCATCCATTGATGGACATTTGGGGTTTTCTTCCATACTTTGGCTATTGCTGATAGTGCTACCATGGGGGTGCATGTCCCTCTCTCAAACAGCACACCTGTATCCCATGGATAAATGTGCCTGGGCAATGCAAATTGCTAGGTCCTAGGGTAGTTCTTATTTTAGTTTTTTGAGGAACCTCCATACTGTTTTCCAGAGTGGCTACACCAGCTTGCATTGTCACCAACAATGCAGAAGAGATCCTCTCCCAAGATCCTCACCAACATCTGTTGTTGCTCGATTGTTAATGTTAGCCACTTGACAGGTGTACAGGTACCCTCATTGTGGTTTTTTTTGATTTGTATTTCCCTGATGATGAGTGATGTTGAGCATTTTTCATGTTGGTTGGCCATCTGATGTCTTCCTTGAGAAGTACATGTCTTTTGGCCCATTTCTTCACTGGATGGTTTTTGGGTGTTGAGTTTGATAAGTTCTTTATAGATTTTGGCTACTTCAACCCTTTGTCTGATATGTCATTTGCAAATATCTTCTCCCATTCTGTCGGGTTGCCTTTAGTTTTGCAGATTGTTTCCTTTGCTGTGCAGAAGTGCTCTTTTTTATTTTGATGAGGTGCCAGTAGTCTATTTTTTGCTTTTGTTTCCTTGGCTCCGAGACATAAGCTGAGTAAGAAGTTGCTGGGCGAAGATCAAAGAGGTTTTTGCCTGCTTTCTCCTCAAGGATCTTGATGACTTCCTTTACATTGAGGTCTTCATCCATTTTGAGTTTTTCTGTATGGTGTAAGAAAGTGGTCCAGGGCACTATTCTCTGCATGTCGCTGTCCAGTTTTCCCAGCATCACTTGCTGAAGAGACTGTCTTTATTCCATTGGATATTCTTTCCTGTTTTGTCAAAGATTAGCTGTCATATCACAGGGGTCCATTTCTGCCCTTCTATTCTGGTCTATTGATCTGAGTGTCTGTTCTTGTGCCACATGTTTACCATTTTTAGGTGTATAATCCAATTGCATTGATCACATTCACAGTGTTATGCAACCACCACCGCTATGCAATACCAAACCTTTTTTTTTTTTTTTTAATATTTATTGTTGAGAGAGAGAGAGAGAGACAGAGCATGAGCATGGGAGGGGCAGAGACAGGAGAAGACACAGACCCAGGCTCCAGGCCCCTGAGCTAAAACAAAGCACAGAGAGCCTCGACGCTGGGCTCGAATCCTCACAAACTGCAGATCATGACTGTCGGGTCGGATGCTTAACCGACTAAGCCACCCAGGTGCCCCTATAATACCAAACCTTTTTCATCACTCTAAACAGAAACTCTTATAATCATTAAACAGTAATTCCCCATTCCCCTTCCCCAGGAAAAATATAATTTCATAGTTCCTTTTTTTAAAAAATATTTTATTTATTTTTAAGGCAGAGAGAGACAGAGCATGAGTGGGGACGGGGCAGAGAGAGAGAGAGAGAGGGAGACACAAAATTGGAAGCAGGCTCCAGGCTCTGAGCTGTGAGCACAGAGCCTGACGCGGGCTCGAACTCACAAACTGTGAGATCATGACCTGAGCCTAAGTCAGATGCTTAACCAACTGAGCCACCCAGGCACCCCAACATAGTTCCTTTTTTAATAAGCATTCAGATTGGTCTATTTTTAAAGTCCCACATGACCTGGACTCTAGTCATCTGCCTATTCACTGTGCAGTGTGAGTGCATTACAGTGAGAAGCTGTGTGTCTGCAGTGTGCCAGCCTCAGAACAAAGAAGGGTGTGTAAATATCACTAGTCCTTATATGGTGTTTTTTTTGGTAATCCAAGCTTGCAACATTCTGTAATATATCAAATATGGCCGGGGCGCCTGGGTGGCTCAGTTGGGTGAGCATCCAACTTCGGCTCAGGTCATGATCTCACGGTTCGTGAGTTTGAGCCCCGCATGGGGCTCTGTGCTGCCAGCTCAGAGCCTGGAGCCTGCTTTGGATTCTGTGTCTCCCTTTCTCTCTGCTCTTCCCCTGCTCACACACTGTGTCTCTCTCAAAAATAAATACAGATTAAAAAAATTTTTTTAAATCAAATTCTTTAAAAAATACATTTAGGGGCGCCTGGGTGGCGCAGTCGGTTAAGCGTCCGACTTCAGCCAGGTCACGATCTCGCGGTCCTGTGAGTTCAAGCCCCGCGTCGGGCTCTGGGCTGATGGCTCAGAGCCTGGAGCCTGTTTCCGATTCTGTGTCTCCCTCTCTCTCTGCCCCTCGCCCGTTCATGCTCTGTCTCTCTCTGTCCGAAAAATAAATAAACGTTGAAAAAAAAAATTAAAAAAAAAATACGTTTATGGTTTAATTGCTAGGTGTGATAAAATGCAGTAATTGAACAAGCTAAGCTCTCTGCCCCTTACCACAATTCACGTTTCACTTTTACCATCCAGTAAGAACTCCCAAGTGTAGGATTCACATTTATTCTAGATTGCAGTGGAGATTTTTTGTGGCATATACAGTAATGTTTCAAAAAGGAATCTAGTAAATGGAACGTCTTGCAAAATCTAATTTTTAAAATATATAATGCACTGGAATGCAAGCCAGACTGAAAATACCCTATAAATAGAACAATGTTTTCTCTAATACTCTGACATATTACACATGTTAAATGTACTTATTCACATTCTTTCATTGAGTGTAAACTTGGCTCAAATCTGTATGGTCAATGTTAATATTTTACAAATGTGAGAAGTTTTTATTCCTGAAAAAAAGTTTTAAAAATTTAAGTTCCATTTTTTCCAAAGGTATCAATATAAATAGGAAATAGGAAATAGGAAATATTGTCACTGAACTATTGGTTTTCTGGCCAGGTATTCTTTTTTATCATTTTCAAAATCATCATAAACCTTTACCATTAGTTTTCCCATAGAAAAAATATTTTGCCCTGACTAGAGTAGTACATAAGAATATTATAAATAAAATAGTGTTAATTGTATTCTAAACTCATTGATATATGTTTAAATTATTATTATTATTATTATTATAGTTACAATATTTTTATGGTTGTCCCATTTTCTTCTTTTATGATACTTTTGAGTAAGGCCAATGGTCTAAGAAATTAGAATGGGGTTTTTTTGTTTTTGTTTTCATTTTTAAGCTTATTTATTTTGAGAGAGAGAGTGATAGTGTGAGTGGGAGAAGGAAAGAGAGAGATGGAGATAGAGAACCCCAAGCAGGCTCCTCACTGTCAGTGCAGAGCCAGACCCGGGGCTTGAACTCATGAAACCACAAGATCATGACCTGAGCCAAAACCAAGAGTCAGAAGCTTAACCAACTAAAACCACCCAGACACCTGGAGAAATTAGCATGGTTTTGAAAGATTGCCTGCAAATTTTAATTTTATTTAAAGAGGCAGCATGTTGGGGCACCTGGGTGGCTCAGTCAGTTAAGTGGCCGACTTCAGCTGAGGTCATGATCTCACAGCTCACGGATTTGAGCCCCGCGTGGGGCTCTGTGTGACAGCTCAGAGCCTGGAGCCTGCTTCTGATTCTGTGTCTCCCTCTTTTTCTCTGCCCTTCCGCTGCTTGCTCTCTGTCTCTCTCAAAAATAATAAACATTAAAAATTTTTTTTAATAAAATAAAGAGGCAGCATGTTTTATTTCAAAGTACTAAAGAGGGACTCATAAAATTTTCTTACTAACCTGGTTTTTCTAGTTCCAAGTTTTGTGACCTTGGGCATATCATTTCCTCATCTATATAATAGGGAGAACAATTTATACCACAGAAGATCAAGTTAAATATAATGCATGCAGCAGTGTTTTGGAAATTATATAGCATGAGTTACTGGAGGACAAGGACTCTGTTCTGTTTTCTTCCTGAAACCCTAGGGCATGCTTGGTACATAACAGGTGCTCCATAGTTATTTCTTGAATTAAGTCATTGAATAAATTAAAATAATTACATATTAGTGTTATATGATAAAAGAGCATGAGCCTTTGATCTCTTGATAAAATATAAATGGAAATTCTGTGAGGCACCTGGGTGGCTCTGTAGTTGAGTGTCTTGACTCTTGATTTCAGCTCAGGTCATGGTCCCAGAGGCATTGTGGGATCAAGCCCTGCATCAGGCTCCACACTGAGCATGGAGCCTACTCTCCCTCTCTCTCTCTCTCCCTCTCCCCTTTCTCTTTCTCTCTCCCTCTCTCCCTCTCTCCCTCTGCCCCTCTCCCCCACTCATGCTTTTTCTCTCTCTCTAAAAATAAAATCTTTAA